TCTCGCTCTCTTGAAGACGGAAGGGACATAGCCAGCGGTCAAGGATGAGTTGATCAGTGAGGTGAGGTAAGGGAGAAGGTCACCGGAGATGGTCTGGAGAAGAGAGGAGGGGATAGGGTCAAGCGGGCAGGTTGTTGGGCGGCCTGCCGTCACAAGTCGCAAGATTTTATCTGGAGAGAGAGGGGAGAAAGAAGTCAAAGCAAAGGGTAGGGCAGTGTGAGCAGGACCAGCAGTGTCATTTGACTTAACAAACGAGGATCGGATGTCGTCAACCTTCTGGTATAGCATCTACACTGAAAGCTGAGCTAAATCAGTGTAGAAAAGCAAGAGAAAAAAAACATAAAGAGAGTGAGAAAGAATGTGAATATGTAGAAGTGAACCATGGAGACAAATGGAATTCAAAAAGGTATGTACACAAATCACAGTATCAAAATTGTGTTTAAAGCAGGGCATTGGGGAGGGTGAGTGAAATATGAGGTGCAAGCACAGAGGGGTATGGATGTACTTATGGTAAGCTGTTTTGATCAGGCTCATACTTCAAAGACAGCGCTGCACACTTCACTGTTCTGACTCTGGCCAAGCTGTCCTGAAATCACTCAGCAGAAACGCACCAGATAACAAATGTATGGCTTGGCACCAGCTACCACCACTTACCAATTCTGTTAATTACCACTTGGTGTTTAAACAGCAACACAGCTTACTGTTTTTCTGACACTCACAAGGCAAATGCAAAATTATGGTAAGCAAGATAAATTATGCAATAGCCATTTCTAGCTATATTATAGGAATACAAGAATACAGGAAAAGGAAGTTTGAATTCAGTTGCTAACGAGAGAGAGAGAGAGAGAGAGAGAGAGAGAGAGAGAGAGAGAGAGAGAGAGAGAGAGAGAGAGAGAGAGAGAGAGAGAGAGAGAGCGAGAGATCACACAGTGTATATATATTATTCTGGGGGCGATAGCCATTGGTGGAAAAAGTACCCAATTGTCATACTTGAGTAAAAGTAAAGATACCTTAATAGAAAATTACTAAACTAAAAGTGAAAGTCACCCAGTAAAATACTACTTGAGTAAAAGTCTAAAAGTATTTGATTTTAAATATACTTAAGTATCAAAAGTAAAAGTATAAATCATTTCAAATTCCTTATATTAAGCAAACCAGACGGCACGATTTTCTTGTTGTTTTAATTTACGGATAGCGAGAGGCACACTCCAACTCTCAAACATAATTTACAAACGAAGCATGTGTGTTTAGTGAGTCTGCCAGATAAGAGACAGTAGGGCTGACCAGGGATGTTCTCTTGATGTGTGTGAATTGGACCATTTTCCTGTCCTGCTAAGCATTTAAAATGTAACGAGTACTTTTGGGTGCCAGGGAAAATGTATGGAGTAAAAAGTACAATATTTTCTTTAGGAATGTAGTGAAGTAAAAGTAAAAGTAGTCAACAATATAAATAGTAAAGTAAAGTACAGATACCCCCAAAAAACGACTTATGTAGTACTTTAAAGTATGTTTTCTTAAGTACTTTCTGCCACTGGCGATAGCACAAGTGGTTCTGAGCATATATCAATATTACACAGGTAAGCTAACAGTTACAGAAATCAGGAATGCAGACAGGCTGTATCTATCTGAGCTACTGTGTCCAACACACCACCACCTGTTGTTATGTTGGGCACCTACTGACCAAAAAATGATGTTATTAATTATTTTTTTTAAATTATATGTATTGCTAAAATAAAAGTTTAAGGAATTACAGGCATGCACCACATTACTACAAGACAAAACAGCTCAATCAATCAAGCCTGATGGTCTTATAAATATACAAACAAAGCTTGTTTTCATTTAATAATGGGATAATGTCTTACTGTGGCGTGTGAAGAATCCAATATTTTACTTTGTATCCGGTACAAATCACATTATTGTGGAAGCACCTCCTATAAGAGTATGAACCTGCCAATTTGACAACGAAATTCAAAAATATCAGTTGCTGAAAACAACTGGTCAAACTAGAAACATGTGGGAGGATTTGACAGCTTTAGCGGAGGTGGGGACAAGAGAAATTAATGTTAATCACTCACCGCGTTAGGTCATCAGATGCTCCCAAAAAAATATGTCTCTGCAAAAACAAATTAATGCTAGCTAGCTACGTTTTTTCCTTGTTGGACCTGCGTTTACAAAGTATCAACTTTCAGTTTGTGTATAGTTGTTGATTTAGCTTTCTTTAACTTTGTAGCAAGTATGATCTGCATGTGTAGGCGCATAATGCGTCCAACTGTCCCGTTATCTGGTTTTAATGTCCATTCTAGAATGCCCGTCTAGCCAATCAGAAATGAGTATTCAACAACGCTGTGGTATAACGTAATAAAATAAATTAGCTTCAGGTGGACGTGCAAAATCCACCGTCATAGCATGGATGAAGCCGGAGCTGGAATGTGAAGCTAACTGAAGCTGGCTAGCTTTATAAAAGCCTGAGTAGATCTAGGTTGCTTTGTAGTATACCACTATGAGCTTTTTAAAGCAGCAATTGGCAGTTGAAACAATAAAAAAGTATTCTACCCACCACTGTTTCGCTAAAAAGCTGAGGGATGGGGCTAGGGAAATGTAACCACTCTCAAATTCAAATATAACCCCTCTCAAATTCATAGACAGAGCTATGGACGCAATAACTGACTGTCCATGATATCACAATTATAGTTTTAACCATGTTTGAGGCTATACAGTGTTTGTTTACATTAAATTTGTTTACAAACATTGTAATAAAACAAGCTTATATTTTGGGTTATGATGGGGTATGACAGTTGAACTAAGCTCATGAGGCATTTATTAGTTATATTCGTCAAGAAACATAATTAGTTTACAAGTCCAAACATGGATGTAGCTACCGCAGATTGCCGCTTTAAATGATCAAATATGATCAATGCCTCAAGGGTCTTTAATAGCCTGGGTTACTGTCTGAAATACTGTATGAACACAAACAGTAGTGTCCCCATACTACTGGGATTATTGGGAGAACAGAAAGAAGAAAGAAGTGTCAGAAAGTGGGCCACCTCATCCCTAGGCTATTCTCTTTTGTCTTTGAGGCTCCTTCTTGGATTAGGGAAAAGGCACAGCTTGTTCTGGGTAGGCATGTCACCCTGCTTGCTTTAAAATCGCTTCAATATTTTTACACAGCAGTGCAACCGATGTGGGAGCAAGCGGTGCCGTGCGCATGTGTGTGTATCAATTAGGCATGATTTGCAGGCTGCTCTGAAAGTGGGATTGGATTCTACATCTCATTCCCCTTGGAATTGATCCCCAACCCTGTAGGAGGCTGATGTAGGAAGGAAAACACCAGAGAACAAAATGACTGTGCTTTATTAATTCAGCCTTGATAGTTTGCCGGAAGGATTTGAAACAATGGAAATATTCCAGAGACTTAAACAAAACCCCAATCTCCATATCCTAGTTTCATTATAGCAAGACTCCCATCTAGTAACAGAAATACCACTGTTTCATTATAGCAAGACTCCCATCTAGTAACAGAAATACCACTGTTCCTTATAGCAAGACTCCCATCTGGTAACAGAAATACCACTATTTCCTTATATCAATACTCCCTCTAGTACCGAAATACCACCTAGTAACAGAAATACCACTATTTCCTTATAGCAAGACTCCCATCTAGTAACAGAAATACAACTATTTCCTTATAGCAAGACTCCCATCTAGTAACAGAAATACCACTATTTCCTTATAGCAAGACTCTCATCTAGTAACATAAATACAACTGTTTCCTTATAGCAAGACTCCCATCTAGTAACAGAAATACCACTATTTCCTTATAGCAAGACTCTCATCTAGTAACATAAATACAACTGTTTCCTTATAGCAAGACTCCCATCTAGTAACAGAAATACCACTATTTCCTTATAGCAAGACTCCCATCTAGTAACATAAATACAACTGTTTCCTTATAGCAAGACTCCCATCTAGTAACAGAAATACCACTATTTCCTTATAGCAAGACTCTCATCTAGTAACATAAATACAACTGTTTCCTTATAGCAAGACTCCCATCTAGTAACAGAAATACCACTATTTCCTTATAGCAAGACTCTCATCTAGTAACATAAATACAACTGTTTCCTTATAGCAAGACTCCCATCTAGTAACAGAAATACCACTATTTCCTTATAGCAAGACTCCCATCTAGTAACATAAATACAACTGTTTCCTTATAGCAAGACTCCCATCTAGTAACACAAATACCACTGTGTTTCAGGTTGACATGGTTAAATAGAGGAGCTATTTACACTAGCCTACAGTTCATATGTTAAATAAAATCAGAGCAGGCCTACTATTGAGTTGCTGGCCTGGGTGCAAAAATACACCGCTTTACTTGACTTGTGTCTTCTTCGTGATATTGGCTGGTTATACCACACATTCTTCTGCACCTCGCGTTCCATTACATCCTCTCCTTTTCTTGTTTTGCTCTGACATTTCAGAAAAGATCAGGGAAGGTAAAGAGGAAGGAGGGAGATGAGGAAATGCCATCTAATGCCATCTAATCTAGAGACAGGAATCTAGGAATCTATTATAGCATGGTTGCACTACGAAGAGTTCATATGAGACAGGCATGTAAGACATGACTTTAGTGAGTATTCATAGCATGAACATAGTAACCAAGGTAAAGGGGGTAGCCTATGCTTTAGATGGATGCCATGATTTCATGCACAATTATTTTGAGAGGTATGTTTAAGCAAACAGCAATACTGGAATGCTGCTATGCTGTAGCCTACAACTATTAAGTATGGTCTGACGCCAGACCAGAACCCATTTTTGCATTGGATCCTAGTCATTATGTAGGATTCTGCATGTTAATAACACCTTCATTCTTTCTATAAAACCTGTTATAGACCCTGTTACAGGTTATGAAACATATGAGCGCCACTCTCTTCTCTTGTGAGCCGCCCCCCTCCCTCCAACCCCGCCCAATCATTCTTGAATTACACACGCCCGTCCCTGTCACATCCCTCAGCACCACAGCCAGCTCCCTCCCGCATTCTCACGCACACCCCTGTCCTTGTTTTGCGGAGCCAACTTTTGACTATAGGCTGGTGGAGTTGTGATTTGCGAATGTTTTCTCTGTCCATGCTTCTCATGCGAGGTGGCAGACAGAAGGAAGACAGAAGAAAGAGGATCTTCAGCACAACGCACTGAGATGCATTGAACATCATGCAGTGAATGCTCCTCACACTAGATTTCTTATTTACCTTTATTTTAGTGCTTAGCGCTGCATCGAAGATTGCAAGACGACGTGTAAAAGAGGAAGAAGACTTTACAGTGGAAAAAGACAATCTGCATGTGAAAGCACTGGATCTAGTGCTATCGGAGGCAAGCGATGCAGCCTACTAGCAAGCTCCTGAGTCTCACCCTCCTTGTCTTGATGGGCACCGAACTCACCCAAGTAGGTTTAAAAACGCCATTTTACTCCCCATTTAAGATACCCAAACCATGCTTAGCAAATTATCCTACAAATTACCTATTTAACAACGTTGTAGTCCTTGAGATTTAATAGATTATGATAAACGATAAAGGGATTCCATCCTCTTAAAATTGATAAGCGCTAATGCGCGTTCACAGAGGCATTTCTGTAGTCAAACTGTATGCTATCTATTCCTGCTTATCTATAACAAAAATTTGACAAAATCAAAATAATCAATTTATTTAATCAGTGACGTGGGGTAGGCTATATTGAAATGTTTCAATTGGCGTTTCACATTCAATGCATCTAACTAATTCCACATTCACTCCAATTAGGCTATGTGAGAGATAGGGTAATCCACTTTATAATGTCTACATTGAAATCAGCGAGAAATTTCACAGTGACATCCTTGCATCTAGACAATTGCAATTTGATTTGATAGTCCGAATATAAGAAATATGTCAGAGAAAAGTCTTAATTAGAAATCTTATTAAAGCATTGCATAAACCAGATTACACCCCAGATTGTAGCCTAACATGAATAGACTTTTCTCGTTATACTAACACTACAGACAAAAATATGAAAACAAAACTATTTCAACACAGTAATAATAATAGACTGCTGTTATTGCTCAAAAATTCGAAACAATTCCAAAATATTAGACTTTTTCTATGATTAATAACTCGTATTAATTTGTAATGCTGGTCTTCATGACCATGTCCTTCTTATCTCCATCTTCTTTCCAAGGAATTGTTTGTCTATTCAGAGATGCATTGCACCCCACAGTGCCACAGCGCCTCCTCCTGGCTGCCACAATACAACCTGTCAAACTTTCCTGGACACCAACAGGGGGTTCAGGCTTTTGTTCTAGACTAGCACTAAGACACTTGATCACATACTTAATCAACTAATCATCAAGCTCGTGATTAGTTGAATGAATCAGACATTTGATGGCATTTGAAAGCACCAAATGTCTGATTCATTCAACTAATCATTCTTAGTGCATTCCTGATGCTGGTATGGCAGGCTATGGCAATACTAGGAAGATGATTGACTTTTGAATTTCTTATAATCATTCGCAATCTGTTTGTATTATGAACAGTAAATGTGATGTAATGTATTGTATTGTATGTTAATCACCTCTTTTTGATCCCAAACAACTAACGAAATATAACCAACAACATAGATTAGAAATCACTGGCCACTTTAATAAATGGAACACTAGTCAAGCATTACTCATCTCATATGTATATACTGTTTTATATACTATTCTACTGTATCTTAGTCTATGCCGCTCTGACATTGCTTGTCCATATATTTATTTATATATTCTTAATTCCATTGCTTTACTTAGATTTGTGTGTATTGGGTAAATGTTGTGAAATTGTTAGATATTACTTGTTAGATATACTGCACTGTCGGAGCTAGAAACACAAGCATTTCGCTACACCCGCAATAACATCTGCTAAATACGTGTATGTGACCAATAAAATTTGATTTGATTTAATTTGAACAAACAAACAAAATAAATATATATAGCTTATTAAATGTGGAAGAAATATATTATATATTTTAAACAAAAATAATTTTAAAAAAAGCAACAAAACAATAGATGACGCAAAACAAATATCTGTAACTCATGAAAGAGAAAATAAACATAAATATATGTTTTTTAAAGCTTATCTTGAATTTTTTTAAACGCAAAACTAGGCTACAGTTCCTGACAAAGGGACGTGCAATACCATTTGTAACGACAAGGTGGCGGAATGTCCCTCGATATCCCTGGACCTGGTTGGTTAAACAAAACAGGTCAAGGACAGTGTTTTTCAGTACAGATGCTGCCTGCCCTGAATATCCCATTATTGCGCCACGGATGTTGTTTCAAATCTCTACGATTAATCAGATTTACTGTCAAACACTTACCAAGATTACGTATTGTCTACATGTTTTTTCTGTGAATGACAATCAAAATCCGGCATATCTTTATTGGATTAAATGGGATTTGTAGGCTACCTTGCTTTCTATGGCACCCGTCAAGAGTTGTTGCTGATGGTTTCAATGTGGTTGGATTATTCCAGTTCTTGTCCCCATAGTCATCAAGCCACTGTTATTAAAGTAGCCTAACCTACACAATTAAGGTATCCAGTCTGACAATGTCGTTTAGGTTCGTTTTGTCTCCATTGCGTTTGCAGGGTTTCATACTTAAATTGATTATATCACACAATTGACTTCAATGTCTGAAGTCATGCTATTTAGATATTGTTTTCCTGTCATGGTATTTTCTTGTATTTGGTGGCAAGGTACATAGTGCTGTGGCAAGCGCGAAAGCGTGGCGCGGTGAATTTAATTTCAGCTGAGGGGTTTTTCTATCCGTGCGCGGTGGGCGGGGGTATTCAGCGAATGGGAGAGGCGACTGAATTTCCGTAATCTTCTAAACTCAAAAGCGATTGCGGGAGAACGGCTTCATATTTTCAAACAACTTCATTGAGCCATCATCAAAGTGGCTTTTGAAGAGAGCGGAAATCACCTGTCAGCCAAAGATGTTCAAACCTAAACTCTCCGCTGTTGCAGCCCTGCGGATGCATCCGATCACTGGCAATATGAATTGCCTAGTTAGTTCTTCACTGGAATGTGTACAAGGACATTTTTGGTAATACGAAAAGAGCGCAGATATGTCGGTGCCTTTACTGAAGATTGGAGTGGTGTTGAGCACGATGGCTATGATTACTAATTGGATGTCGCAGACGTTACCGTCCTTGGTGGGACTCAACACCAACAAGCTCTCGGTAGCATCAGGAGGGACATCGGACCGGAGCACCGGCGTGAGTGACAGCAGATCCAGGAACCATTAGAATCATGTACTGCAGAGGATAGATTGCAATAATATAGGCTAAACTACGAATAAAACTAATAGAAACCAGTTATTTAGTAGGCCTATTCCTATAATTGGTTGGAAATTGAAATAAAAAACTGTTGTTGCTTGTGCATCAAAATCTGTAAAAAATTGACTGTAATGACTATAGCCAAAACGAGTAGGCCTATCCATAAACAAATAGCTGAATAAACGGAAAATCATTATCTTATTATTCTTGTTAGCCCTAGTGTAGGTTTCAAAAACTTTCACACATACTTTGCTAAATGGATTAACTGATATAGATTGGAGAAGAAGTGTGGCAATGATGGACAATTATAAAAGTTCTGCGATTGTCTGTGACGAATGTAATTGAATATAAAGAGCATAATTATGCTACATTATATAAGTACACTAACAGATAATGTAGGCACATTGTAGACATAATGTATTTGAGCATAACACACTGAATGTCACTACTTGCCAGGGTTAATCTAGAGCCATATTTCTGTTCATATTTCTATTTATGGCTCTGGATTCAACCATGTAGTAGAAAAGTTTTAACCAATCCACATTTAGAGCAGCCTCTGTACCGAATTATTACTCTGAAGGCTTAGTGCTAAATAGGCTTGGTCCTCTGTAGTTCAGGTTGTAGAGCATAGTGCTTGCACCGGCAGGATAGTGTGTTCGATTCCCGGGACCACCCGTACATAAAATGTATGCATGCATGACTATAAGCCGCGTTTGGATAAAAATGAGAAATGGAATATATATATATATATATATATATATATATATAGAATGACTCTGTTTTATTGAAAGACTTTACCCCATGACTTTATTGGAGGGTTGAAACTGTAAGGTTTAATTGACATAAATGGCACAGATTAAATTCCTGTAGGCTACATTAAGTATTTAGAAATACTAGATTATTACTTAATATCATCACAATCTAGCAAAGCTATTTCAGTAGATTTACAAAGTTGTTTCCCTCAATTTGATGTCATCTCCTTTTGTCATCCCTGTAGTCTTTAGAATGTGGACAGTCATTTTGATGGTTGGAGATTAGGCGGGAGCATACGGCAAGGTTCAACACTACAGATGGCATTTTACGTAATCATATGCCATCATCTTAGAAAAAGGTTTTGTAAATCCCTATGGTGAAAATATTCTGCATGAAACTGGCACACATTCTTGGCAGAGATCATGATTTTTGTCCAAACCTCCAAAAATGTAATGACATTATTTTGGAGTAAGCTAATATGTTTTAGCTAAGAGTAGTAATGTAGTCTATCTTAAACCCTGCACACTACTGAGCCAATGTGAGCCGTGCCAAGCCAAACCAAGCTGAACTCTACTGGCCTGGTTACGCATTCTCCACGGCTGCTGGAGCCGTGCTGGAGAGGACAATGTGAAAGGAAAATGTCTGAGCCAGCGCAGTATTGTGTAAACATGTTAATACTGTCACATCACATCTCTATAACCCTTTTTCATTCATCTCTCTCACCCCCTCTCTCACTGTCTGTGTGTCTCCCTGTATGGCTGTCTGTCTCTCTCTCCCGATCTGTCTTTCTCTCTCTCGCTCCCTGTCTGTCTCTCTCTCCCTGTCTGTCTCTCTCTCACTGTCTGTCTCTCTCTCCCTGTCTCTCTCTCTCCCTGTCTGTCTCTATCTCCCTGTCTGTCTCTCTCCCTGTCTGTCTCTATCTCCCTGTCTGTCTCTCTCCCTGTCTGTCTCTCTCTCCCTGTCTGTCTCTCTCCCTGTCTGTCTCTCTCCCTGTCTGTCTCTATCTCCCTGTCTGTCTCTCTCCCTGTCTGTCTCTCTCTCCCTGTCTGTCTCTCTCTCCCCGTCTGTCTCTCTCTCCCCGTCTGTCTCTCTCTCCCTGTCTCTCTCTCTCCTTGTCTGTCTCCTCCTTGTCTGTCTCTCTCCCTGTCTGTCTCTCTCCCTGTCTGTCTCTCTCCCTGTCTGTCTCTCTCCTTGTCTGTCTCTCTCTCTCCCTGTCTGTCTCTCTCTCCCTGTCTCTCTCTCTCTCTCTCTCTCTCTCCCTGTCTGTCTGTCTGTCTGTCTGTCTGTCTGTCTGTCTGTCTGTCTGTCTGTCTGTCTTTCCCTCTCTCTCTCTCTCCCTGTCTGTCTCTCTCCCTTTCTGTCCGTCCTAGGTGCTCCCAGCCAACCCTGAGGAGTCATGGCAGGTGTACAGCTCAGCACAGGACACGGAGGGCCGCTGTGTCTGCACCGTGGTGGCGCCTCAACAGTCCATGTGCTCGCGGGACGCCAGGACCAAACAGCTCCGGCAGCTGCTAGAAAAAGTACCCCCCCCCCCATGTAGCATGATGTACTACAGTACCCATAACCCCCCACTACCAGACCTCTACTAGAACAAGCACCATTCACCAGTTTCACCATGACAACCATCTCCCACTCACCCTCTCATTTGTCTCTCCATCTTCTTCTCAGCAGCAGCAGCCTCTGGCCAGAGGACTAGAGTTACTTGTATGGCTCCTTGACAATAGCAGTTCAGTTCACCCTGTATTGCCAATATTGATTTGCTGTCATCATCATTTGATATGATCTGACATTCAGTCTTATACAGTAGATTTGTTTGGAGGCCAGATGTTGTGCAACTTTGGCACCTTGATGTGGAACAACCGGCAGTCCATTTATAGCATACTCTCAATCTCTGTCACTGCTGTGGGTAATTTGGGGTCAGAAATGCATGTCTTTCTGATTCGGCTTGATCTTTATGTACATATAACAGTATGTTGCTCTTGAGCACTTGACATGCTGTATTCTCTGTCTAGAGACGTTAGAGGTTATACAGTGTCAGATTTTGCAGTCAGTTATCCACACCATATCTACAAGAAATTGTGTCATGCACCAACATTGTTGAAGGAGCATTGATGGCCAAAGTCTATATCTTCGCGTTTATTGGGTGTATAACTTGTTTATTTTGATTCCAAAAATGGAATCAAATAATAAGCCTGGGAAGACCCGAATACACTAGTGTTTAGGGCTGTATTTAAGTGTATTTAGGGGCTTTAAGAGACATGTATTTCTAATTTCCCCTGTGTTAGGTCCAGAACATGACCCAGTCTATCCAGGTGCTAGACCAGCGGACCCAGAGAGACCTGCAGTACGTTGAGAGGATGGAGGTCCAGCTGAAAGGTCTGGAGACCAAGTTTAAACAGGTGGAGGAGAACCACAAGCAGAACATTGCCAGGCAATACAAGGTATGTCAATATTTCTCTTAGGGTTGCTAAATTCCGGGAACTTTCAATACATTTCCTGTTTTTCCAGAAATCCTGGTTGGAGGATTCCGGATTTGCTGCTTATTCCCTTCCGATTCCTTGAACCTCCAACTGGGATTTAGTGAAAACCAGGGAATTTATTTAAAGTTCCCGGAATTTTGCAACCCTACTCTTACATAGATAACATTGTACAAAGAGATGTGCTGTAAGTGGAGTTCTGGGTCCATATTTATTAAGCCTCTCAGAGTAGGAGTACTGATCTAGGATCAGGAACTATTCTGATGACATTTGTTAGTGTGTATGTGTGTGTGTGTTCCCCACCTATCCTCACCAATGCTATGTTTATGCTATGTGTCTGTCATGAGCAACCCTGGGAGTGATGACCCTTGCACGTTTTGTGTGTGTATATTAGGCTAGTGAGTTAGATTATTCAACACTCAACAGTATCTCATTTTCTTGCTTGCAGGGCTAACTTTAGGAAATTATATCAAAGCTGCAGAGACTGAAGAGGCAGTTCTATCCCAGTGTTCTATCCCTGAACTTGACCACTGACTATTTTCACCATGCAGTTTATTTGAAAACTAGCATCCTTTTCACCCTCAGACCTGCACTACTCTTTGCATTTCTGCATGTTACTGTAGATGCATTCGATTAATAGATTTAGTTCTGTTTATTTTTTATATATTTTTTTTATTATTCAATTCCATATCCTGTTTAGTTTTGTCAATGCATAACTGTTTACCACAAAAAAAATACTGAAACATTGTTGTATGTGACACAAAAGCATGTAACCCTAAGATGTTGCATTTTAAAAGGTGAAAATAAAATATTTTCCCAATTGTTTTTGGTGTACCGAGGACTTGTTTCATGCTACTTATGTTTGTGATGATGTCACATCTGCTCATGATACTGTTGAATGTGTTAGGTCCACTCTGAATTCACCTTAGGGAGACAGCCAGAGTAGGGCAAGACAGGTGTGGAACACCCATTTGCTCACTTAACACTGAACCAAGCCTATTTTAACCTTTCAGGCAATAGAAGCGAAAATGGAGGAACTTAGGCCATTGATACCAGTGTTGGAGGAGTACAAAGCCGATGCAAAATTGGTATTGCGGTTTAAAGAGGAGCTCCAGAATCTGACGTCTGTGCTAAACGAACTCCAGGAGGAGATCGGCGCCTATGACTACGAGGAGCTACAAAACAGAGTGTCAAATCTTGAAGAGAGGCTTCGTGCATGCATGCAAAAATTAGGTAGGCTCAGAGATCACCAAAACACCCCCTTTGCTTCCTTGTGCAAGGGGCCAATCAGATCTACAGTAGTCATTCTTCTCACACCAACAGATCTCTATCTATCCACCGCACCTCCTGTACATGCTCTACCCCTACAGGATAGCTTTAACATACTCAGTCATTCTCTCATGTTAGGCAATCACAAATGCCTTGACCACATTAATGCTTAACAATAATGCTGATGAAAAAATAAATTTCTCATATGTCAAGTTAGACGCTATTTAAACATGTTAGGATTTAGAGTTGTTAGCGGATTTGGATTAAGTTTTGCTAATGTAATCCTATTAAACCGTAACTACACTAGCACGTCATGTTATGTGTGCCAGAAATGAGCTGTGAGCTTATGTCCACTTCATGGCCAAAAGCTTCATACCATTGGAGCGGCAGTCATCTAAAAATAGTTCCAGGATGTAACAACTGACAGATTATTTCTCTCAGTAATCTCTTTGTTGCATGGGTTGTTCACAGGATTGTATACAAGGGCAAAGTAGATGGCACGATGTGTGTCTAAGCCAAGGGCTCTCCCAGCATATACAGTAGATACATACAGTAGATACATACAGTAGCCCATCTATTACCATATTTCTACGATTGATTTTGTGACATGCTAACAGTAAGTGAAAGGCTGAACAGACAATGAATGGTGCAAAATGCATGATTCAAAATAAAATAGGAGGAAATAGGTAGAAGAAATCCAATTGTAAGGAATGAGGCATTGAAGTCGTTTTCCTTTGTGCCACTGTGCTTTGACTGTTAGGATGCCAACTGTAGCTCTAGGGATGACCCTGTAGGCAGGGAGTTGAGCCAATGTGCTGGAAAATTCTTAGAGATTAAAGAAGGGCTCACTTCAATTTCAGAGGATTATCCATTTTTGTTTCAAGCGCTCAGCTATAACTCTCCAAGTACTATAGCTATGGTAGACGGCATACACTACCCAGCTAGCACATTTGGTTCCTTTGAAGTTGTGGGAACAACTTTTTTTAGTTTCACATTGGTTGTGGGAACGAAGCCATATGTTTCCTGACCAGTAAAATTTAACGTTTTTTAAAACGTTCTGAGAACAGAAGTGAAAACTTACTCTGGTTCCTTGAAAGTTTTCCTGGGAGGTTTTATTAACGCTCTGAGAAGGAAAATTGTAGGTTATTTGGAGGTTTTTGAATAACTTCCTTAACTTTCACTGAATGTTTCAATAAGACTTTTATTCTAGCTTATTTTGGGTTACATGTTTAACTCCAAGCACAGATGGGACACATGGAAATGTATTTCCTTAGACATTAATCATGCAAACATCTTTATTTTTTATTGTGACACAGCATCAGTTAGATTTGAACCTATAATCTTCTGTTGTGTATCCATGGAATTAGTCCACTGCACCACCATGATGGAGCGAGGATGTCATGTTTTTTTTTACGCATACAAAGCTGTTAATTTTAGTCTATTCAAACAGACCCCATTTCAAAGAAAACAAACACTCATTAAGATCAGATGTGGCCAATTTGTGGTCGCGGCCAACACACCTGAACATACTTAACAAGATAGAGGATAGAGAGAGTTTTGTTGATGCTGAGAACGGAATGTATTTGTTTTTAAATAACATTCTTAGAACCTTCTCTGAACATTACTAACGGTTTCTTGTGGTTTTTATGGAAAGTTTGCTAAACGTTCTCAGAACAATTTGAGAACATGAGGAAACGTTAGCTAACAAGGCTTCTGTTTGCTGTGAACATGTTGCCAGAGTAACAATTTCAGTTGAACGATTTGAATAAACATTCCAAAATGTTATGGTGAAACCTCAAACACCTACTTTTTGAAAGGATTACTGTGACTTTTTAGCAACAATATTCAAACTGAAAATAAGTTAGCTATTTCTACTAAATATCGTAGAAAGTCTACATGGCCACTTTATTATTTTTAGTGGCAGTTTAGACCCGAAACAGACACTTACGTTCGCCGCACACTACCTTCTCGGACTGTTCACTAACGTTAGCGAACGGTCGTGGCTAATACAAAACAAATGGAATATGTTAGCTAACGGTAGCCACCATTCGCAAACTATTTCCCTTGTTTAATGCAACTCTGTAGGAAATGTTACGCTGAAGTACAGACATTTCCACAGAAACTTTCTCGGAACTATTTGAGAACATTCCCAAAGTCAAACCAGATAGAGAACGTTCCCAGAACATTACCAAAAATGAAATGAAATGTAACCATGTTTGAACTTTAAGGAAACGTTCTGTTAAAGTAATGAACATTTCGTTTTTTTGTCAAGTTCCTTAAATGTGCTGAGAATGTTCCAAAGCCTAGCAACTATCCTGCAGAAAAGTCTGTTTTCATTATTCATAAGTAATGTTATCATTTATCTATGACATTGAAAATATACTGTTGTACAGAGAGACCACAAGCCACAAGGTGTTGCAGCACTCTGTTACCTTGGAATTGCACATTTCTCAACATTGGCTCACACCTTGTGGCTTTGTGGTCTGTGTACAACAGTATCCTTTCAATGTCATAGATAAATGATAACATTACTTATGAATAATGAAAACTGATTTTATTGTCCAAATACATCATTCTGAGGCAGAGAAATAGATGGCTAAAGCAGGAGATCTAGATTCTGGCACACACATTTATACAGTTAATTCTAGAAAGCCTCCAGCTAAAACAGTATTGTCAAAACCTGAAGAAATCACTGAACTGATCAATAGATTGTAATACTAAAGCTGGATTTGTCATCATAAACAAGTCATGTTGAAATTATAATTTTCAACATAATTATATTTAAAGTATAGTAGATCACTGACCTATGCACGCACACACACACACACTATGTTTTACAACCTATAGACACCATTGATTGTCCAGAGATAAATGTAGTATCTGGCATTGTGTCTTTGGCTCTTGCAGCATGTGGGAAACTGACAGGGATCAGCGATCCAATCACAATTAAAACGTCTGGATCAAGGTTTGGATCCTGGATGACTGACCCCCTGGCTCCTGAAGACGACACTAGGGTAGGTCTGGTCCTGCAATACCTATCCTATTCATTATACAGTTAACACGGACTCAAAAAAAAACGTTCTTATCAATTATGCAATTGGGAGGACACTCAGGACAGATTTGCGGTGTTGTAAAATAGCAGCTGTAAGATGTTAGCTAGTATGTTTGTATTAAAAGGTTTGTATGGATCACAACTTTAGTAATGTGTTCTCATGCCTCACTGTCTGGGATTAGCTCACTGGCCTGAAAAGAGCCGTAAGCACCACAACACATTCTGATGCTAATCTGGAAGGTAGCTACATCTCCTGGTTGTCATTGCAGTAAACTATGTATTTTTAGGGAATGAAATACATGAATCACAGGATTGGATAAAAGTTATTTGTAAATTTTTATGTGTTGCACATACTAAAATATCACTTGTTATCCTGCAGAACTTGTTGTTAAATTCATTAAGGAATACCACTGACATTGGAGTGGACACACTCTATCCATCTACTTACTACCTGTTCTCCAGCTTTAAATTCATGAAGACACAAGCACTTAAAAGATAATTACTTGAGCAGAGACTTCCGTTGCAGATCTGAGGGTCGAAGCCCTGGCTTTGTGGAGAGAGTGTGTCTATGAAACCTTTGATTTCATTTAGTCTCAGAGTTACAGCAGAAAGACCACAATCTCACAGAAAAGTTGACAATAACATGCTATACCTGAGATTTAGGACTTTTTAATGCACTTGTATTCCCATCTAGGTGTGGTACATGGACGGCTACCACAACAATCGATTTGTGCGGGAGTACAAGTCCATCTACGACTTCATGAATTCCGACAACTTTACGTCTCACCGCCTCCCCCACCCGTGGTCAGGCACAGGCCAGGTGGTCTACAACGGTTCCATCTACTTCAACAAGTTCCAGAGCCACACCATCATCAAGTTTGACTTCAAGACCTCCGTCATCAGCAAGTCACGCCAGCTGGACTACGCCGGCTACAACAACATGTACCACTACTCCTGGGGTGGCCACTCAGACATCGACCTCATGGTGGACGAGAGTGGGCTCTGGGCCGTCTACGCCACCAATCAGAACGCAGGGAACATTGTCATCAGCAAACTGAACCCCAACACCCTGCAGATCGTCAAGAGCTGGACTACCAACCACCCCAAGAGGAGCGCAGGAGAGGCCTTCATGATATGTGGTACGCTGTATGTCACCAATGGCTACTCCGGTGGGACCAAGGTGTATTATGCCTTCAGCACCAACTCGTCCACCTATGAGTACATTGACATACCATTCCAGAATAAGTACTCTCACATCTCCATGCTGGACTATAACCCTAAAGACAGAGCACTGTACGCGTGGAATAATGGTCACCAGGTGCTTTACAATGTCACTTTGTTCCATGTCATTCGCTCAGAGCAGGATCAGTAGATAGCCACGCTGTTACTTTCTCAGTCACTGGCAGACCTGGGTTCAAATACTATTGGATAACTTTCAAATACTTTTAGCATTTGCGTTAGCCTGCCTGGAGTGCCAGATGGGCAGGGTTTGCAGTTTTGCAACAATTGTATTAATTCCATTATACCAGGCAAGCTCAATCATGCCCAGCTAGATCAAGCAAATTTGAACCCAGGTCTGGTCCACGGATGCTTCAAAGTAGAGGAGATGCTATATGTAACTGTGGAAGTAGAGAAGTATCCTATATTTTACTCAGTAACAAGAAATACAGTACCAAATTATATATAATGTATAGAAACGCAGAGTAAGAACAGGTACTGAAAAAATGTCATGCCTTTCTTGTTTTAGATGACTTCAAAAGGCTTATAACGATTGTGATTGACTTTTTTTTTGGGATCACAGATAGTGCAGCCTATTGTATCATAGTCTTGAATTTAATTACATTTGGAATTGAAGAGGGATTAAATCCTGGGCCTTGTTTATCAACCTGTATTAAACCAAACTTTAGGACACAAACACACAATCATGACCATTTCCCCCAGGTGGGTGCTCCTCATTGGTGGTGGGTGAGGTGAGGTCACATTTCCCCTATACATTGTGAAGTACACTAAGCATCTGGAAAAGCACTAAATAACAATCAATGTCTTTATTATAATTCATTCATTCATTATAATTACATGATCATATGGTAAAGATGGTCAAATGTAGCAGCAATTTTCCATGTAACTTGATTCCTGCTTCTGTAAAGGTGGAGACTAGTGATCGTCATAACACAGAGCCGTGCTTCTCTGTGCAGAATAGAAATCCAATGCTATCCCCATGTGTTGGTAGCAAAATATCTCATTGGAAAATGTGTAATGGCACCTCAAAACATGTACTCTGTCTTTCCTGCGCAATACAACCTCTCAGGAACCAATATAACACAACCTGTCGTTTGCATGGAGTCATCTACAAGGACATTGTAGGATCTGAGTATGATTGATAAATGAGGCCCAACGGAGCACAGTGTCAATGATCCAGTCAAACCACGAGTCAATGACAAAATACTGTATATCTGGGAACACCGACTACAGATATTTAAGGCAAAGACTGTTGGAAGCACCCTGTTTCATCTCTGTGTCTTTGTGATGGTACTATGTATTTTCTCTTTTTTGTATCTTCTTTTTGCATGGGCATTTTTACCAACCAAACTGGTTTTCTTCTCTGGATGTATTTTGCAATATTTGATGCTGTGGTGCAAGAGACTAGTTTAGCACTGTTAGGAGGCAGGCTTTTTACTTTCTTATTGTCATTGGGGTTGATATATGTTCTTATTGTTGGTATTGATATTTACTGTGATAGCCTGTCTTTGTAGATTGGATTGTATTGAATTAATTTGTCTAGCTCATATAGTTCTGTCTGGAAAAAAATAAAAAATATAACAATCACACAAGAATGTACCAAACAATGTATCTATGAGCCAGTGACGTATCTACTGGCTGTTTTATTCAATTTGACTTCACAAGTCTACTGTCTGTTTCTTAGAGAGATCAATTGTGACATCTTATTCTGTTGAGCTTGCATATGTGTTGTATCTTCAATAACATTCATATAAATAAACAAGATCTTTGTTCTACCATTGACTCTCTCAATCCCTGAAAAGAAACTTCTGAATAAGATGAATTGCCTCAATCGAACCCATTTTTGCAATGCATCTTATAAAATGGACAGGTTTCCAGTTTAAAGAAGTGTGGGAAAGGGTATTTTTCTGAGACATCCATCTCTGAGAATGGCATCAACCAGAGGACCTATTCACCTTTGAATGTGCAGGTTACTTAGCAAAACAATGATTATCTGAGATATTGCCTCCTATTTGCAATTTGTTAATTTCACAGTGCTAAGTGCTACAAATCTCATTGCAATGTCCAAATTACATGTTCAACTGTTTGGTAAATGGAGCATAGGACAATCTAACACAAAAACACAGTACAACCCAGAACATGAAACGAGTGGAAAGAAAGCACATTAAAGACGTGTCCCACAGGGCACACTACGTCATTACAACGTGGATAATTGGGTAATATTTGGTTGAGAAGTTGATCAATGAGATTACAGTCTATATTCACCCACTCAAAAAGACAACAAAAAGTTAGTTTAATTTCCAATGTGTTATTACATTTTACATTACATTTTAGTCATTTAGCAGACGCTCTTATCCAGAGTGACTTACAGTTATTACTATGCTTTCAACAATTTAAAAGCACAACCAAATGAAAAAACAATGTCAGATGTTTGGTATAGTTGTGATCTAAATGTGTAATTACAGATATTTCATCATTGATGATATAGGAATGATAAAGTATGGTCACATTTCATTTCTCTGTTAAACCTACCATATGGAATGACTTTGATAGCAACAGTGAATCTATTTAGTTTTTAAGTGGTGATCCACTCAACAATCACTCTCACGATGGCACATTGGTAATAGTCAGTGACAAATGTCATAGCTAAGCAGAGCTGGGCATGGTTAAAACCCTGGATAGGAGACCAAAGGGTAGCTGTAGATAGATCAATTCTCTAGTAGGAGGTGCTGCCCAGCCATTGTTTTTTTCCGATAGTGGATATAACGTTGAAGATCTGATTTTGTCTATATTTGTCTATGTTGAAATTTGGTTACCATGATTACATCATCTTGTGGTATAATTTTTACCCTCAAAACAACAGTTGATTACTTTTTTCAAATCCAATGCATTTTCCATGTAGATTTCACGTCACAATATGTTGACAAATTACATTGACAAAATGCATTAAAAAAACTTTGATTCAACCAGTTTGTGCCCAGTGGATTCTCTCATTTCGCTATTGTGGCTCATCTGGACCCACAATTACCTCTCCATGGCAACAGAGGTGGACTGTAATAACCTCTTTCCGTCTGGCAGCGGGGAACAGCTGGTCTGGACACAGCGCCGTACATCGCTGACTGAACTTCAGCCACAAAACACAACACGCTTTATTAGCTGTTCCCACTTCTCCCAACACTGAGAAAATGATTTGTTTCGCTTTGTGAATAATGATGATGAACAACGCAGAAGCAACGATGACTATGAATGAAGACATCACACACCAGCATCTCTAGCTCCAGGTTGTTGCACACCATTCACTACAACTGTTATGTGGGAATGTTGAATCTGATGTAATATCTTGAATGAGGTACTTTGTTAAGTACATTATCATTCCTGATGCTCCATGAATTCAGTGCAACCATCTCTTTCTCTAGAAGGAATACAATGATACTGTAATCCTTCAGAATGTAATCGTTGTACTCCTTCTTTAGCTACTGCATGCTGAGTGAACTCTAGCAGGCCATTATAAATGTACTGTACTGTACCATGTCTTCATATTCTGCCGTCTGCCCGCTACATAACCTATCCTGTGGTAGCAGTTGTGTTTTAATAACATAGAGCAGTGGGTAGTGGGTAATACTTGAATTTTATGCCTCCCCACACGACAGCATTCTCTTCCATCGTTTTTAGCCTGATCGACCTTCCCTTTCATGCCTGTAACTGTGTTGTACGCGCGGTTCATTGCATTGAACCCATATTTAAGATGGAAACAAATCATCAGTGAATAGTTCCTTTAAAATCTTTATTTAGGAGTATGGTAGCCTGTGCTCCACATTCCATTCCACCCATGTGGATAGGGAAATCCTTACACCTTGTGAGTGTCCTACTAACAATATTCTAGTCATTCAGTTCTGAGTAATTACATAATCATAGATGGTGTATTCACAATAACCACAGCAGGCCTACAAAGGTATTTCCTTTCAGGGCTAGAAAAGTTCAACGTTGTATTCTCTAGTCTAGTCACGCTTATGTTTAGACAATTGCAAACCATCCATTTTTTTCTAGGCTTCAAATCAATCCCAATCCAATTTAAAATATGTATCACCAGGATTGAGTCTTGCATCTGTTGAATTTCTAGATTTCAATGTGAAGAAGATTCTGATCTCGATGTATCAGATTGTCAGAATGTACACAGTGTACATAAGCACATTAGGCCTTCATAGAATCAGTACAGATGTTTATGAAAAAAGATTACATCAAATATAAAGATGGTATCAATGCCTAATGTATACCCACTTCAAGTGTTACAGTTGTTTGGAAATTATATATTTTATTAGAGGCTATGCGACAATATGTTGCGTTTGAAAGAGTTACAGTACTCCGAAAAGGAGGTCAGCACTAATACATAAGTCTCTAAAATACAGAGCAATTCTCTTCCCTGTGGAAATGCCTTAAATGTGCACTTAGCTTTTCCAATCCTCACAATATCAACTGTACTGAGTTTACATGCTCTTCATCCTATTATGGCTGGGATGGCAATCACTCATTCATTCTGGATTTTCTACTATTTCAAAGTATAATATCTAAATGTTCAATCCCTAACAATCGGGGTGCCTTGTAAGGATTCGACGGCGAGCGAGTAAACTACCTCTTCCATCAATCCTATTAGCCAATGTTCAATCATTTGAAGAGAAATTGGATGACCTAAGACTAAGGTTATCCTACCAACGGGACATTAAAAACGGTAATATCTTATGTTTCACTGAGTCGTGGCTGAACGACGACATGGATAACATACAGCTAGCGGGCTATACGCTACATCGGCAGGATAGAACGGCTGACTCCGGTAAGAAAAGGGGTGGCGGTCTGTGTATATTTGTAAACAACAGCTGGTGCATAAAATCTAATACTAAGGAAGTCTCTAGGTTTTGCTCACCTGAGGTAGAGTATCTCATGATAAGCTATAGACCACATTATTTACCAAGAGAGTTTTCATCTATATTTTTTGTAGCTGTCTATCTACGACCACAAACCGATGCTAGTTTGGCAAACAGGACTAAGATTGAATCGTACTACACCAGCTCTGATGCTCGTCGGATGTGGCAGTCCTTGAAAACTATTACA